ATATTTTAACTACAGTTTTTACCCCCAATTTCAAGCGTACTAGCGTTGAATAAAAAGATCTACTTAGTTTAGCGCGAAATATCATAATATATGAATCACAATATATGACTATGTTTATGTTACTTCCAGCAAATCACAAAAAAAAAAAAGAAGAAAGAAGATGGGGGATTAAAATTTTTTTTTAAGATTACGACGTATCAAGACGCGGTGTAAATGTGTATCGACCGTAACGTTCCAAGAGCCAGCAAGAGATTCGCGAGGAGGATAGTCGCGAATCTGCGTTGCGGGTCGCGCGTTGGATGGGCGATGGCGAAGGAGGACGCGAGAACGGAGGGGGGTGTGAGGCTGGCCCATAAAATCGGGATGTTACGCAAAATATAACGAGCAACGTTCTGCCGGGCTGGCTGACGCTCCCGTCGTAATTCATCCGGCTCTCGCTTGCGTTCGCCTTCTCGACGACACCTGCGTCGGCAACTAAGGCCGTTAATTCTCGAGGTTGCGTCGCGCTTTCATCGCGGCCATCGGTATCCAACGGGGTTGCTGCCTGCGTTCCCCGCTACTTTGCAGCGGGCGTTCGTCCTTGCGTGCCTTGCTTCTCGATCTCTGCTTCGTAAATCCCCGGACTTTCAAACTTGAAGAGAACTCCTCGTTCTCCACCTGGTCGCGAGGTTCGCGCGAGTAAGGATTTGAGGTTTGAGAAAAGAAACGGTCTAATCAGCTGGCCTCTCGTTCACGAGATCGCCATTTTTAACAATAATTTGCGAATTTCTAATTCTCCATTAGGGCCGAGAATTTCTTTTTCACGATTATAAAAAAGTTTATGTAACGTGAAATCAACAAATATTAACCTGTAACATGAACACCGAATTCAGCAATTAGCACAGCGATTAACAATGAATTCAGCTCAGAGTTTATCAGAGCGAACACATTTGCAACTTTGAGGTAACAACGTTTTTGCACTTGTTTGTATAAAAGCTTAAGCGTGGAATTTGAATATATAAAACTAAAAAGCAAAAAAGAAGAAAAACAAGCAAATACACTGAACCCTACTGAGAGTCACAAAGCTACATCATATGAAAATAGTAACGATTATTGAAATGCAAACAAACAAGATATTATTGGTGTAGAAACCAAGAGCTTTTTCCCTGTTTAACAAACACCAATAGAAGGAAAAATAATGACAAGGTGGTTTAGCTTCGATACTTTCGATTAGAACTGATAACCGTTATCAAGAATATTATTGGTCACTAAGACGACATTACATAACAAGATGTATGTGCCACCTCGTGAAAAAAAGAATTAAATTATTTAATAAAATATCGATGTATCAATATGTGACTTGAAACTATTAATCACTCGACTGTCTCTTCTGAGGGGACAGTGCTTAGTCCAACAGCTCGAACCTACTCTTTTTATAATTTGCTGCATAATTATAACGAACGTATACATTTGGTGTTGTGTGATGCGATATAAAATAGTATAACATTTGAACAGACGCTTAGAGTGGAAGCTATGGAACAACAACGTAAGAAGAAGAATTTCTGAAGACAATCACAAATTTCCTGAGTCAAAGGACACTGAAATAATTCACATAAGCTAGACTTTCCATTGCTTCGTGCAAAAGTTTGAAAAATGGTCGAGTATATTATTTTTCCAGCGATTGAGAAAACTTGTATGTTGTTTGTTCCAGCAAAACCCATAACGTTGACGATTTCTTTATATTATAAATTATATATTCGAAATATACATATTAAAAAGATATAGTCAATAAAATTTCGCGTTAAATACCGTTTGAATGATTCCACATTTCCAATGCTACGTCATTTCATTCGAAGCGATGCCTCGTGGATGAATTATTGGTGGATGATACATGAAAAAAAAAAAAA